ATACGATGAGGATCTACAAAGCTTATAGTTGTAAGTAGTAAATATGATAAATAAATGAGAAAAAATAAGTAGCGAAAATAAATGTTTCAATACCTGCTGTATCTATCGAAATTTCTTTACAAGATGGACTTTGGGGCCCGTCAAGCTAGTAAAAGTTATATCTATTGTATCTATTATATCTATTAATAACACCTGAAATTTCAGACGCAGCGTCTGCGTTTATTGTTTGCTCTAGCGTCATATCTACAGGAATCCGAGAGAATAATTCTTCCTAATTAAAACTTTGCAAATTATTTACGTCTTCCTGTAAATTTTCTTACTCATCATAGTCATTGTATTCTTGTAATATTTGTAGGGCTAGCATTCTTAAAAAGCTATAAATAAAAATGTTCATATGTAAAAAAAGTGAAGAATCATAAATTAAGTTTACTATTAATATTATATTGAATCTAGCCGATGAACATATGTAATTTATTTCTATAAAAATTGAGTTCTCCTTTAAAATAATACTCTTGTTAATATGACCTTAAGAAATGGAAAAAAAAAAATTTTCTTAATACTCTTTTACTTTTAACTTTTTAAAATTACGCTTGAAAACTTATACGTCAACGTGACTTTAAATTCTTTTTTTTGGTTAAAATGTATCGAACATAAATTTCATTTTATACAAATCTGCGTACTATTCCAGTGTTGATATAACTGATTGCAGAGAACTAAGAAATACTGAAAGATATCAATAATAAATTCGTACTGTTTACCCACTACTTGCAATAAAAGTAAGCATGAAACGTTTCATACACACAATAATCAACAGAATACAAGTAACAGAGAACGTACAGACACAAAGCAGTTTTTGTAATAGGTGTAAAATGAAATAAAAACAAAAGAAATTGAATTATTGTACAATGTGATAAGAATTTATTGTCAGTACAATGAACAATGCCTGTGATTAAAACCATTTATTATTGAAAAGAACGAAGATGCTCTTTTAAAATAAACTTGTAGTATTAAACTCGTGATCTTATATTATGTTAAAACGTTAAAGTTAACAACACTTCTAACGGTTGGATTCAGCTGCATCACAATACAAAGTAATAATAAGTAAATAACAAAAAAATGTTGCCAATGTCAATAAATAGAAAGGCTTTACAACAAATTCATACTTACATAACATATAATATATACATATGTATATATATGTATATATATATACATACACATTTATATTTATACTTATAGACGATTTTACGTTTTTTCGTTGAACAAATATAAGAATAGCACAAGAAAAATTCACATGCTTAACTGCATACCCAGTATTCATAGTCTTCAACTTTCGGAGAGTGAGCAGATAATACCAGTACCACACTTTCACATACGTATGTGCTAGCCTATAAGAAGAAGCGCAAAATTGAATATACATTTTGAATCTCCAAAAAAAATAAAAGAATTGTAATGACGTCTAGTTGCTGAAAAGTAAAAAAAATTTTTTTTACAACGATTAATAATAAGCTTTTCTGCATAATAATTTCTCAATTATGATAAACATTAATTCGCAAAACTATTTATGAAGAACTAAATATTTTTAACTACGTCTACGAAATTTACTAGTTTCAAAAAATATTTTTCAGCCCTCGGGTGGTTTTGGGAGGCTGGTACTTCCTCGGACGAAAAAACAGTTTTCTGGAACTCGTTCGAAAAGTCTCCTTTACGAACCTCGTTACGTCCCTCGCCTTCGGCTCGGGCCGCAAACCTCTCGGTTCGCAAACAGAGACTTTTCAAACTCGTAGGAAAACTACTACTACTACACTGTAATTTACAGAGAAACACATTGTGCGTACTGTAATCTAGTAGATTTTGATGATTACATGTATACCATGGTCACATGGTAACGATTACTTGTTGGCCAATATATACGTTGTACTGTTTGCTGTATTCTACAGTAGAAAAATTTAAAAAAATATGTTATTAATAAGTTTGGTGACGTGATGAGACCGGTATTAAATAGCCTCGGACTAAAAAATAAACAAATATTGTTTGTCAGACAAAATCGACAATAAATATTTAATAATGTTTTTAAGCAGTAATAAAATATCAGCTTGTTATTGATTAAAATTTTTGAGTCGTCATTTACAGACGTTTTAGGCAGTAGACACGGATAACGATCAAAAAATTTGTAAGTATGTGGCAAATGTTTTTTCCTGCGTTTCATCAACTCTTCTTGCAATTTCACTTCACGGTTTTGCAGTATTTATAAACTTCTGGAAGTTTATGAAATGCACGACTTTTGAGTGCATTAGAGGGAGAAAGCCGTAGCTAAAGACTTTGCCAAGAGGTGGGCTGGTAGACTCGGTATACTTAAGCCGTACAAAAGTTTTAAAGAGGATATGTAGTAATTGAAATTTTGACGGCGGGTACCTAGATTATTATGCTTTATCTATACATGAAAATTAATAAATTTAAAATTAATTACGAATACTATTGTTGTATCCATGAATTTACTTTAATCAATATTTTAAAACGACATCTACTGAGAAGCAATAAAAAAATAAAAATTACCGCAGATGTTATTTGAAGGTACTACCAGTACGTCAACTAGCCCATTCGAATACTATGCGCTGCGGCAAAGAAGGTATAGATATTATATGTAAGCTGTAAATCGATCATGGGCAAACCATACGTATATTACATGAAAAGGGAGAGTTAGAGTAGGGAAACTAAGATAGAGACTCTTTCTATCTGTTCTTTAGTTGCGCTAGTCTGTACCGTCTTTTGTACTGAATTCTGCTTTGAAGGGAATGCCGTTTCATCTGACATCAATAGCTGATGTGGGTGGTTTTGTGAAATGCTCCTCACATAAAACTTTTTTGCATATTTAGTAAGCTTGTGATGGTGCATATTTGATATGCATATAAAAAGACTGGATATTATTACCCCAGTTTATACAGTTGCAACACTCCGTACGAGAAAATGTCCACCAGTCGCTATGTTTCTTAGAGTATAGCCCAGAAATCTTTAAAAATAATAAGCTAACGTTTTATAAATTTTCTAGTAACACTTGCTTAACTATACAGAAGTTATACAAATTGTAAAATGTATTTTTTATAAATTTGGCATCATTGAAGTAGTCCACTATTTAGCCAGCGTTGCAAAAAATCGCTGACTAGAGTGCTGGCTAATAGAGTATTCGCTATGAAGGTTGAATTTAGGAGTCTAATATAAAGAGTCTACTTTAGGACATTATTTTGCAATAGAGTGCCACAACTGGGTAAACTGTGATATAACTTGATTTTAGTACAATAAGAATTTGCCAAGAGCTTTTTGCATACTGGATAAATTGATGCACATGTCTACTATTTCGTCAACGAGTCGTCATTTGGGCCTAACCTAAATACATTTGCAAATACCCCATATCTTGAGAAGAAAGACGAATAAGGAAAAAAATTTTATTTCTTAAAACCTTTTTAAAGTAAAAAAAGCATCACAATGTACAAACAAAAAAGTATTAGTGAATAATCCAACGGAAGCTTTTTTTTAGTAATTTCCGTGTATTATCAAGGAGTCACATTTTGGGAGAAATAACATTTTTAATGAATTCTTATAAATGTGTAAGAAACTACATTGATTTTTTTGATCAAAAATAACACCAAAAATGATTGAAAATACAGTCATTTTCTAAAAAAAAAAAAAAAAGAAATAGGAAAAATGATATATCTTATGAGTCTTCTAACCTTAAAAAAAAATAACTGTTACACCAAAATAAAAAAATAGTAGTTAATAAAAAATACTTTTACCATGGATAATCTAGCTGTAAAATTATCTCATACAGACAATTTTTATTATTTCGTTCACCACTTAAATAGTCAGGCTGCTGACAGTCGTCTTCTTTATATTAGGAAATCAAAAAGTTGTAAGTTTTATATTTTTTAAAAATTGTTCATACAAATTTTTTTTAACTTCTGTATTGTGATTTTTATGGTAATAAAACAAAAAAATACTTCTATATACTTTGTGATTTATCTCAATACATTTGAAAAGGCGTAAACATTTAAAACAAATTTTATAACACTAATGGTGGTTAGCAAATCCATCACGGAGAATCGGAAACACTATTGTATGCAATTCAAAATCTTTAATAACTCCTTCTTAGAGACATAACTTTTAACTGTTATTGACTTTCCAAAACAGACGCAATCAAGTCGTAGTTATAAGTTTCAAGTTATTAAAAGATCAAAACTTTAAATATCTACAAATATATGCATTGTATGATTGTTTCAGGACGATTTAAGAATTTTAGTCATTATTGTATTTTCTAAGGTTTAATGAATTGGAAAAAACTCTTTAAACATTTAAACGCAATCGTAGTATTTAAGGGAAACAAATAGGAAGCGCGAGATCATGGAAATATTTTAATCTGTGAATGAAGAAAAGGTTTATTGAGAAGTACTTTTTTTGTAATCAACTACAATGTATAAGTGATTTTTGGTTCAGGGCCCATGTCATACGTTACATAGTCATAAAAATATTAGAATTTGCTTGTATATAGTTTTATAGGCTCATCAAAAATAATGCTACATATCAGTTCTAGACCTCATACGTTTGAATATAATCCATGTACTTTGATTTCAATGCGTCATTATTTATGACATCCGTATTTATTTCAAGAGATGTTTCAAGCTAAGGATAAATTTTTTGTACCAAAAAGTTACCTTATGTCTTATTGTTTGGGGTTAAGTTTAGACTAATGGAGTAACATCTTTTAAATCTTTCGTTTAGCTTCTATAAAAAAATATTTTTTACAATAATATTGCAACAGTTTTTAATTTTTCTAAGGAAATTAAGGTATTTCTTTGGCACATGAATAAATATTAAAAGCGATATAAGGAGACAACATCAGTAACAATGTTACTTTATAACCTATTAATAAATTATAATCAGCAGCTTTTAAAAAGAAGACTAAAATCATTAAGAAAAGTATATTAGTTAATAGTAGAAAGTCTTACCATTACATTGATTAATGATAAAATTAATTAACTAAGATGATTATTCGATATTGTTTACTTCAAATTTTTTTTTCTTACAAATTTGAACTGACTTAAATTAGAAAATACTTTTTACTCAACTTTCACCCCTAAAAATTAACTTACAGTTGACTAGACTTTAACTTTTGTAGAGTTCACAAACAACGCATCACACAGAAGTCAAGACATAAATAAAAAGACTACATATTCTAAAAGTGTTTAAAAAAAATATAAATGACTCATAGAAAGTTCCATTGATTACTTATTTTTAGTCAATTATTTTTGAAATAAAGTCTATTCTTGGTTTTTTATTGTTTTAGAACAATGCAATGGACTACAATAATACATTCAGAATCTTTAAATAACGATATGGGTAGATTGAGAGCTATAATCTTACACTGTACTCCAACTATAAGACAACTATTTCTCTGCACAATCTAATTATAAGGAATACAGCTCTGATATGGCTGAGTTCACTTTTGCTTAGTATATAACAATAGAGCTTTTAAAATCAGGCTGGTTACGTACTCATGAGTTTAGTGCGTACTAAAAATTTTAGATTTTTAGTGCCATTAAAAAAACCTTTTTCTTTTTAGTTACCTTATGTATAGGGCTTAATTAAATTTTTTAAATGCCATCCCACTTTTTTCCATCAAAACTTGTTTTAAAAATTTTGATTATCTATATTATATAAAAATTGACTTATTCTACCTCATGCCTTTCGAAAAATAAGTAAAAAGCTGTAAATCGATCATGGGCAAACGTTGGATTCTATGAAGCGTGGTTACAGCCATACTGCACTTTTTTGCCTCCTTGTCCAGTTAATTTGTTCAATTTTTATAAGGAAAATAGAAAGATTCTTTTAAAATATTTCATACATACATGATGTATTATTATAGATACATTAAATGCTTATTAACGGGTATTAATAATCATGGGTTTCAAACATTTGCTATATCTAATTTATATTGATCTTTATTGTCTAGGTGCCCACTGTCACAATTTTAACTTAGACGTATCCTCTTAAGAATTTTTCTACGGCTTATGGTGGTTCTTTCATGAAATGATTATAAACAAAATGGTATGAAATCTTGAGGAAATGTTTATTAAGTTACAATAAACTACTTCTTAAAATTTTAGAGTAGGCTATCGAAAATAAAGGCAAGAAAATAATAAATAAAAATTTAATTGTTAACATGTGCTTTTATGGCAATGAGCATTTTTTTACTGAAAATTGTAGCCTAGTTATTTATTTATTAAACATAATTCAGTAAAAAACTGACTCAATAAAGCTAATGAAGATTTCAAACATACTGATATCTCAAAACATGTGTGTTTACGGACTTAATCAAAAGATATTAAATGAAGATATTTTGGGAAAACAGAGATTTTTGGTTTTGTATTAGGCTTGAAATCCCAGACTAATTTAATGTTTTCTCTTTATCGTACTGATTGTTAGTCAACTAATTATTAAATTCTACTTAAAACTCTTATGTAAATATAATATAATCTAATGTCAAACAATACTATTACTTAAATATAAATTAAAATTGTTATTCTTAACAATTTTCTGAACTCATATTGAAAAATAAGAAGACTCACTTCCATATATTATACGCTCGGTAACTATGGTGTGAAACGCCCGTGCCATCTCATGGATGCATTTTTCAATAGAGAGGTAGAGAAGCTGAATAAGTATGAGATAACCATGTCAATAGAGCAATTTTGTAAATGAATTTTACGTAACTATAGAACATTACAAGTTGTAAAAATATTTGTGACAGTGAAATAAGTCACAAAAAAATTCAAAACGAGGGCATTTTAAAAACACAGTTTTTTAACGGAAGCAGAATTTTATGAGTCGTAAGGATGTATTTGATTACGTAAGAGTAAAAGAGAGAGACGAGCAGACCTGACCTTTCTTTTGTTTTTATATGCTTCAGTTGATTCAGTACAGTCAGTTTATTTTATAAGATTTCAGCTTTGTAGATTATTTGTTTTGTGAAAACACACTTGTTTTTACTACTCGGATGCCAAATTTAACCATCACAAACATTCATACCCCTTTCAGCATCCCATAATCCCTTAAAATTTAAAAACAAAGTAACTCTTCATACATGATTATCACATACCTGTTTAGTTTTTCTCACCCCTATTAAGGCGTTTTGACAACTGATGTTGCTGTCAGTGGTAGTTACCTAGCGTAAAAAGTTAAAAATTAGGCAAGTTTGTCGTATTTTAGATATTCATCTAGAAAAGGACCGTGATATCAATACCAATATCTTTAATATAGTGGTACGTACTACAGTAGTAGAGATTAGTAGACAGATTGCTGACTGCAATGCTACGGCATGAGTTCACTTTTGGCCACTGTTTCGAGCGCCCCGTCGCGGTCAAGCGGTCAAACCAGGCACACATATTTTTTTTATTTGTGAAGCGTGGAGGGGATATACCGAGTGTGTGCCTACGGATTCGCGTGGAAATGGGCATGTAGGCACATACTTTGGAGATGCGTGGAAGGGGAATACTGGATGTGCCTACGGAGAGACGAGTGGTGCATGGATATGCCGACTACAGCTATATAACCATATACCCGCGTATATCACAGCGAAAAAAAGCGACGAGTCTTTCTCGCTACTTATATACTAATTTCTTGAATAAGGTCTTAGAAATTAAGGGGAAATAGAGAAAAAAAAGATTTCACATCTAATATTTATAAAAAAAAAAAACCTATTCTTTTATTTAACAATTCTCTATAACATATGAAGTTTAATGAATTGGAA